CCACCTGCTATGGGATCTTAGGCAAGTCAGTGAGCCTCGGTTTTCTCAACTACAAACTGAGATAATAAAACTTGTCTACCTCAGAGTGTGGTCGTGAGGATTTAATGAGAAAATGCACATAAAGTATTTAGCACAGTGCAAGGCACACAAATGTCCCCTATTTGCAACTAGACTTATATGAATTAACCAAATATAGATCAGTTTGCTAATTAGAATGACCAACAAGCCATTTTGCACTGGTCATTTTCTTCATTTGTGTTTGAAATCCCTGCATTTTCACACATATAAGAAAAAAAATCACCAAAAAAAAAGCAAGAACGTTATCAACTGTGAAAGTGAAGAAGCAAACACCGACTGAAGAGGAGGACTCAGAGAAACAGCAAGAGCACATCCCTGGAGCATCTGGACGGTATGCCTCTCCACCCAGCACTCTCAGCAAGTTTAGGGCAAGCTCCGTTTTCCATTCTGCGTTTGCAGTGACAAGTTTTGCTAGAAGCAAGAAATAGCTGCTCCCACCTGTCCCTGCTATGGAGCCTGGGACAGCCAGTGGGGGAGGAGGAGTTGGGGAATGATGAGAGAATTTGTGCCTCAGGGAGAAGCCCATTGAAAAGCCAAGCAGACCGTGCCTAGGCTGGGAGGGAAATGCATACGTGCAGCAGAGAAGCAGAAAGTGTGAGAACCTGGAATCAAAGAGGGGAGCTTCAGGGACTTTCCAGGAGCCTGGACTCCATGCCAGGCAGCCAGGAGGCCACAGAAGACAACTCTGCTGGGACAGCTTCACTCGGCAGCAGAGCAGGAGAACAGGCTCTCCTGGCCAGAGCCTCTGCCGGGAGTCCCCGTGGGAACTTCCTCCCAGCCCCTAGCCCAGGCCTCTCTCACATACACGTGGTCCCGCTTCATCCCATTGTTTTCACAGTCTTCGTGGGACAATCTCCTGTACGTGGCTGAGCCCCTCAGATGATTCTAATACTTCCCAGCCTTCCCACCACTTACTAAGAATCATTTGCACTATATTGTTAGTGTGGACTGTCAAATCAGTCCTTCAGTGGAGACACAATGGCTCCTGGCCTTAAGCCATCAGATGAAGGACGCAGGGGCTGGACTCATGCCTGGGAGGTGAGTCTTCTCCAACGGCTCCCTCTGCCCCTACTTCCGTTCTTAAGGCAGAAAAACTGGGACTCCCCTTAGACACATCCTCCAGCTTCCCCTCCTGTTATTCTGTTCCTCTCCAAGCTTGTTTGGTTTTCTTTGTAATGTAATTCCACCCTACTAGAGTCAGTTTATCCTGCTATCAGGAGAGGAAGGATGATGGTGAGGAAAGACTTCTTTCTGAGCATCAGAAAACCTGGATTCTAGGCCTCACTGTGGAACTAATTGGTTGTGTGTCTTTGGGCTGGTCTTTTTCGCTCTCTGGACTCAAGGAGAGTTGACCAGGGAGCCTCTTTGATCATCTAGTCTGGCTCTGGCACAGCATCAGACTGGGGATGTGTGTATATGTATGTGTGTGTGCAGTTGTAGTAAGACAATTTACAAAACGTAAGTAAACATTCAACAAATGTTTAAGCATACAATACAGTATGTTAACTATAGGCACAATGTATGTGTTTTTGACAATCAGCCCATACATTCCACCCTGGAGACCAGTGAGCCTGTTAGAGCCTGAGATACCACACGTTCTGCTGCCGGAGCCCACTGGCATCATCACAGCATCCAGACCCGCAAGGGGACAGGAGATCAGATGAGCTGGATGAGGTGGTCCTTCTTCCACCACTAGGTGTCACTGTCCTACCTTAAACACCCCTCGTCAAATTCTCAACCAGATTAACTGGAAACTCTCCTACAGACTTTTTGGTTCTTGGCACTTGGATCTAGTTTGCATCTATCTTTCTGGACCCTTCCCTCCAAAGACTCAACACAACTATTTACAGGTGTCTGCACACCTTCCCTCCCCGCGTGCCAGGCTTTGGGACTTGCCTGGTGACATGGAATGTGATGTGCACATCTGCCCAAGCAAATGGGCCCAGTGCCTTCTATTCATTCTCATTCAGTCACGAGATTAATGAGCACCTGCTGGGTCCTGGGTCCTGTGCTGGCAGCTGAGGACTCAAAGAAGAAAGGCACATGTCGGCCCTCAAGAGCTCACGGCAGACTTGTCAGTGTTACTACAACCTGGTGAGAAGGTGCTGAGAGAAGGACCCCACGCAATGAGCGTGGAGGAGAGGGAGCCCTAAGGCCTGCCTTCGGGAGGTGGGGAAGTTTCACAAGGCGGGTCGCAGCATCTGGGCTGAGACCTGGAAACTGCACAGGTCCTGTGCAAACCAGTATGACAGACCATTCCGGGCTGACGGAACAGCAGAGGCAAACAGGCCAGTTCCATTAAGCTTAAAGCAGGCTTTTCCTACTTAAGGATAAACCATATTGAAATCAATTTGGACTCAATTCCTTGCCAGGGAGAAAGAGCAGGCTCCTGCCCCATTCTCCATGTACATACAATCACAGTTGTCTTTTTCACCCTTGAGAGCAGAGATGTGGCTTTCCATTTTTTATATCCTCAAAACTGACCACAGTAGAGGTGAATATATTTTGAGTGAATGAATGAACAATTGACTTTACCAGCTAAGCTAGTCTGCCATTAGATTTTGAAGAGGTCTTTTTCAGAGGGGAAACTGAGGCACAGGCCCCCCCAGTAGGAGAGCCATGAGTGCCTCCTGGCTCCTGCTCAGCACTTTTTGAAGAGCCTGCATGAGTTCATTCTCTTTCTCTGGGTAATTGGTTCTGCAGGCTGATCACGAGAATTGGCTGCACTTTTTTCACTTCCAGAGATTCTCTCTACTCCTTCTTCAGGAGCACTGCCAGGGGCAGGGGTGCCATAAGGAACTAATAACATAATGAAACTTGGAAGCATGTGTGCTCACCAAAGTTGACTCAAAGAGCAGAGAGTGGGGTCATCTATATGCTAATCTCACAAACTAGACCCCTTAGCCTTTAGCAGAAGTTAAACAGCTCAACAATACACTCTCTGAGGTGATTTTTGACTCCCAGAAAATCATTATCAAGTTTTTGTTTCTGCCAAAACTCATTAGGAGCTTTGACACCTGGAAGAGTACACACAAGAGGTAAGGTGCTGGTGGGACGTACAGAAGGGAGGAAGGAGGGAGTAAAGGGGCAACAAGGATGATTCTGGCTCTGACCAGATGCTGTGAATATTGGCCGTGGAGAGCTTGGTAGAGGATGTGGGAGGGAGAGGTCAAAGTAGGCAGAAATAAGTTCCAGGCCAGTCTCTGCCAAAATCCTTCCACAGATAGCCCCATTTCCAATGGATTGAAGTCCGAACTCCTCAGCCCAGCATTCACAACCACTAAGGTCTAGCCCCAACCTACATTTTCAGCTTTGCTGCCATTACTCCCCATTCCTTGTTCACACACCAGCAGAATGGGCCCACGCCCCCTCATCAGAAGGGTCCATGGGTAGCCAGCTACCCCTCAAGCTCAGCTCCTAGGGTTTCTCCATAGATACACTTAGTCCCACATCCACCTCTGCAGATAGACCATGCTGTCTCATGCCACATCTATTTCCCTTAATGGCAAGTTTCTATTCAACCTATTTAACCTTCAACATCACTCCTCTTGAAAGTCTTCCCTAATCACCCCCTGGTTGAACTTTAGGGCCCTCATCTTGTACACCTTGTACCTGCAATTATCATAGCTCTTTTCACCCTACTGAGAAATCATTAGTTGGTGTGTCTCTGAAGTCTGAGCATCTTAATGACAGGTGTCATGTCTCTCATTGTTACAGCACCAGCTCCAGCATAAAGCTTAACACATAGTAGGTACTTAACTAATATTTAAGCATAGAGTGCTCAAGGGCAGAGACCGGATGCCATTCATCCCTGCATCTCTAATCTCTAGACCATTGCTTGGCAGGGAGAAAGACTTCAACACATGTTTGTCAAATTACTGCATCAGCAAGCTGAAAGGAGGGGTGGACATCCACATTAAAAGTGATTATGGTTGACTGACCAACTCAACCCAAGGCAACTACTGAAAAGTCCTGGGAAATCCTTCAGCCCTGGGCGAACTAGGACAGCTGGTCACCCTATACTATGGCCAAAACCCACTAGCAGGATGGACCAGTAGCCACTTAGCACAAAAGTTCATGATATTTATTCATTCATTTATTTGTTCAGTCAACAAATATTTCCTGAATATAAACACAAAGAACTAGACACTGAAAATAAAGTAATTTACAAACATGTGGACACATTTTCTTACTTTGCTCAGTTCACAAGTTGGAGAGGTAGAGCCAGCAAAAACCTGAGTCTCTGCTTCCGTTGGCCAACCTTAGCTGAATGAATAAAACCATCCCTCTAACTGGGCAGAAAATGATACAGGATTTCACTGAAAGGAGCATCACGGTTTATCCTGAAGTACAAGGACCGGGTTCTAGTCCAGATAGTGGTGCCTTAGGCAGTTGGTTTATCTGTAAAAGAGGGACTGATAATGACAGTGGTGCCTCTTTGTAGAGTTTTCGTGAAGAGCAAATGAAACCAAGGCTTTGAAGGTTGAAAAGCAAGCAGCAAATATTAGCATCCTCAGCTTCACCAGCCTGTGATTAATCATAATCTCCTTAACTTTATACACTCCTGATGGTGGGGAGGTTCTGCTGCCAGCTTGATTGCAAGAAGTCAACCTTTTTCCAAAATCCTACTTCCCAAACATTTGAGGGGAATTCCAAGGAATGTGTTATACTCTTATCTCAGAATCAATGAGGATAGCCACTTCATGCAGCAGCCAGCACTGCCCCCGATCCTAATAGTTCCAGAGAGGATTCATGCCAGCACTGAATCTGTGTCCTTGAATCTGTGTCAAAGGACAAGCCACTGCCCCGAGGAGCCAGGAGGAAACAGCTCCTTCAATGTTTTGTGCAGATGGCAGGGAGGGTTCCCACAGCAAGAATGCTTGAACCCAAAACATCATAACCATTAGCGACCCAGTGCTTACCTTCCAGGATTTACACAAGCCAACGGAGTGGATGGAATAGGGTGAGTGCCGACAGCAGCTACCTCCACGCCTCAGAACCAGCTCTCCTTTCTGGAATTCAGGTCTTTCTTGGGATCTGTTCACTGCGTCATTTCTTCTCTTGAGGCAGTTGTTCTCAACTGGGGCAACTTTGCACCCCCTCCCCAGGGTACATTTGGCCACATCTGAAGACGTTTTTTTGTTGTCACAACTGGAAATGAGGTCTGCTAATAGAATTAAGTGGGTAGAGGCCAGAGATGCTACAAAACATCCTGTAATGCATAAAAAAACCCTCCACATCAAAGAATTACCCACCCGAAAAATGTCAATAGTGCTGATGTTGAGAAACTCTATCTTTGAGTGATTTCTTTCTCACTAATCCTATTGTTCCTGCTTCTGATTTGGCCTCCATGGAATTGATTCCTGTCTATCAAGCATATTTCTTCTTCTTCTTTTTTTTTTTTGCTGAGGAAAATTTGCCCTGAGTTAACATCTGTTGTCAATCTTCCTCTTCTTGCTTGAGGGAGATTCACCCTGAGCTAACATCTGTGCCAATCTTCCTCTATTTTGTATGTGGCTCACTACCACAAAATGGCTGCCAGTGAGTGGTACAAGTCCGTGCCTAGGAAATGAACCTGGGTCACTAAAGTAGAGCACACCAAACTTAACTACAAGGCCATGGGGCCAGCCCCACCAACCATGTTTCTTTATATCTAAACTCCAAGGTGGATAGGACTTACATCTTATTCCCAGTCCTTGGCCCTATGTAAATTAGCAGATAAAGATAGGTATGTATCCGGGCTTTCTCTCAACTCTTTCACTCATGGCATATAAGCTCCAGCTCCTGCCCTCTTATGTCACCACATTGAAAGCAGGTTATCGCAGATTCTTCCATTTCAACAAATATTTGATGAGCACCTCTATGTACTAGGCATGGTACTAGACATATAACTATTAACCAGATAGACATTGCCCTGTCCTCATGGAGCTTACAGTATGTCAGAGAATAAAAGAGCAAACAAGTGAATATATAATTACAAATTGTAATACATGCCATGAAGGAAAAGCAGAGGGTACGATGAGAGCACATAATGGGAAGGACAACACTTAGACAGGAAAGGCAGAAAATGTCTCCCTAAAGAATTAATGTTTGGCTCTAAGCCTGAGGAGGCAAAGAAGTGAGTCCAGTGAAGAGAGGGGAGCGGAAGAACATGAGCAGAAAGTTCTTGAGTGAGAAAGAACTTGCACCATCAAGGAGCAGAACACAGGATGTGTGGCTGAGGGTGATGTGATCTAATTTATATTTTTTAAAAGGTCGCTCTGGCTGCCAAGTGGATGACGGGTGGGAGAGTCACAAGCGGAAGCGAGAGACCCATGAGAAGGCAGATGCTGTGGTCTGGGAGGGGGATGGGGGTGGCCTGGCCCTCAGGGTAGCAGTGAGGATAGAACCAGAAGGTCTGTGGATGAGGTTCTGCCCTCTGAGGCGAAGAGGTCTATATCCAGGGAAGGGCCGTGACTAGGACACTTTGGGAGACCAGATATCACTGCCCGGACAATCCCTGAGAGTCACAGCTCATCAGGAATCAACACTCGTGTTTCCTGCTCAGAGTATCTACAGGGAGGAACCACACACATTTTGTTTTCCCACATTACTCTTGAGCTTTTTGCTGTTTCTTTAATTGGTTGAAAGAATGAGTGGGTTTTATTTATTTATTTATTCATGGCTGTGGAGACAGAGGGATTGGGGGAAATAAATGACTTGTCCCAAAACCCAATTTCCTTTGCTTTCAGGAGCCATTCATCACCTTCTCGGCTTGATGCCGTTTCTTTGTGGAGTCAGGCTGACAAACAGCAGCCCATAGCCAGGGTTCTGGGATCTCGTCCCTGGACAACCCTACTGTTGGGCCTGGGCAAGGCCAGAAGGAATCAGCAGCCATGGGCCTAGCTAGATTTGGGGACTGGAGAGACTGTGCCTATGGCAGGGAGGACCTATCTGGGAATAGCTGAGCCTCCAGGGCAGAGGGCGGAGGACACCTGGAGCTCAGCTGAGTTCAGGGACAGGGATGTGCCAGGAGCCCACTATAGGGAAGTCCAGGTGCGAGGATTTAGTGAACCCTATAGGTAGTGAGGCTGAAGATGATAAAAACCACAATTCTTGCCCACGGGCAGCTGGCATTCAGTACAGGAAGCAGACAAGTAGATTAATAGTACTAACATAATGGGTCCTGTGAGGGAAGAGAACACACGGGTTATGGGGGGTGGCAGGACAGAAAGGAAGAAGCTCCTAACTGCCTGGGCAATCAGGGGAGACTTTCTGGAGGAGATGATAACTCTCTGTTGTCCAGACAGCCCGCTGGAATCACCAGGGTTTAATTAACTGCACTTAGAAAAACAAACAGAAATGCCAACAGCACATTTTTAAGGGTATACTTGCTCCATTATTCATGTAAAAAGAATGACTAAGTAAAATTTCCCTTATGGATTTTTTTCCCTATAAAGTTATCCTGAGGGGTGAGTTTCCAAACAGAAAAGTATTCCTTTAAAGGAGATTGCTTTAGCTTTGGCATTTAAATCCAAGCTCGAGAAGGGTCCGTGCTGGGCAGGAATCCTGCCCTTGAGGGGTACTTGAAAAGATTTCAGGGTACAGGAGCCTTACTGGGGGGAGACAACAGACAAAATGTGGGGTGAGCCACACCTGCCAGTCCTGGGCTCCCCGCAGGGACTCACTGCCAGGATTACTGAATAGGGGCGGGGGTGAGGGAGCAGCAGCAACCTCCGCTTCACGCCTGTGGCCCAGGCTGCAGGAACAGGGCAAACTCCTGACACCCTGAGTAATGACTCCTTATCAGAAACAAGGAAATTCCAGGATTATTTTTTCTCAAAGCAAATTTTAAAGAAAATTTTATGTGTTATACTTACTCCTGTTTGTCCTAGAAAGAAACGATGATGCGAGTTGACAGCAACAAAAAAGAATTAATACTTCACTTTCATCTTCTGCCCTCTTCCCAGTTTTTAGACAAGGAACCAGGAAGCCAACTCATGGATCTTCACCGCGCACTCACCGTGGGAGACCCTGGACTCTGCAAGACCCAGGGGTGTGGGGGTGGCAGAAGGGGGCAGGCGGGGACTATATGAATTTATGAGAATATACTATTTTGCCATTTGCAAAGTCTCTTCACTTACGTCACCCCATGCGAGTCTTTCCAATAACTCCCTGAGGTGGTAGGACCAACGCAGATCATGGATTTGTTAAAGAACTGAGGGAAGTTTCACATGAATTTATAAAACACATGAGCGATGAAATCAACAGCGATTATTCTGACACTGAGATGCCACTGTAACAAAAAACAAAATACAGAGCACAAACAAACGTAGTTAATCCTGAAAAGGAAGAGAGAAATTACACATAGAAGTAATAAACAGGCTCCCGGATTATTTGATAATCCAATTAATTCATATAAATGCACTGGAACATTTTTTGCTGATTGACACATGGACGATGACAACAGAACATTGAAGACAAACTGATTAAAGAGTACTCTCATTTCAGAGAGTGTTCAGGACAAGTACTATACAAGAGTACTTGAGTACAGCTTGTACTATATACAAACATTTTTTAACTCGATGGAAGCTTTCCCAAAATTGACAACTCTAAAATTTCACATAATACTAGTGAAGCTAAAAAAAACTTCTCAAAAATCTTAGTAATAAAATAAAAATTTTGGTCAGCATGCAAGAGGAAAGAATACAGTATCTTTCTATTCTCTCTGTAGACAAAGATAGTACAAAATCATTGGCCCATAAAAGGGTAATCAGACAGTAACTAGCCAAAAAAGGTAAGAAAAAGAGGTATACCAGGTATCTAAATAATATTAGTATATTATATTTCTTAACTATATGATGTTTGTAGTATTTTTTTTAATTTGTAGTTTATGGTAATTTCTTTTCTCAATCTAAATGTAAGTTTTGTAAATAATTTTGTATTCATCATTTTGTATTCTTTTTCTTAAACAGGGCCCCCAAATTGTATAAGTTTTAACCCCCACAAGACCTGGACCTTCCCCTGATTTATGCCCACTTTGCAGATGAGAAAACAAACTCAAGAGAAGTCTTACCCTTATCCCGGATCACACTGTTGGAAAGTGACAGGGCCAGGACTCAAAGCCAGTGCTCTTCTTTCTCTCCGCTGAGAGCCATAATGCAGTAGGTAAACCCCTGCGGATTGCCTTTGGGGAGGCAGAAATAAAAGTAAGGTAGAAGATTTTAAAAACCCAGAGGACTCACTCAAGAGGGATTCAACTCCCTAAAGAGGGATTCAACATGGCTTACAGCACACATCCCATCTCCCTTCAGGATCCGTGTCTGGACAGAAGAACTCAACTTACAGTCAGCCCCAGTGTCACTATTCCAGGCTCAAAGCAGTCCTAGGATCAAGAGTGCCCATGGGAAGTAAAGAGGGGTCACATCAAATGCCTTCTGGAAGCACGGGCTAATTCTTCCCCAGTACCTACTGCACGCCAGGCACTCCCACCTGCATTTGTCTTTACCCACATGAATAATTCTCCTTTTTTTAAGGACAAGAAAATAGAAACTCAGAGTAACTTGCCCAATTTCACAGAGCTGGTAAGAGACAGACATGAACCACAAGGCCAGATCTGCTCTGCCTAAAGCTCATCCCAGTTCTCCACAAGTGGGTTTTTCCCCTGAAACTGGTAAACACTTAGCCATGTCACTTCCAGTGAGGTGACACTGACCACAAGTGTCCATGCCTCTTGGCCCCTTGCTTGTCAAAGCAGTAGGTGACCATGCTCTGCTGCCAGCGGAGGTGAGGAGATGAAAACAAATGGCTTTAATCCACGTCTGTCACTGACTTTCCCACAGATGCAAGACAATTCCTCCTCACCTCTCTGAGACCAGAGCCGTCTGTGCAGGGTAGGAGGCCAAATCACAAGGTAACCCCAGTGCCCTCGGCCACACTGCAGTGAGCAAGTGGGGTCACATTGTCTACAAATGGTAGTTCTTTGCTGTTGCTCCCACCTAGTATAAAAACTGGGAGCCCAGGCCTCCTTCAAAAGCTTGGTGGCCACCGGCCTCCCATTCTTTCTGGGATTCCTCAGGGACTGTCCCCAACTGTGTCCTCTTAGCTTCTTCCTTCATGCCTCTGGCCTTCTGTGCTGCTGAGGCCATCTCAGTGCCAGTGGTCAAAATCCATGCCAAGAGTCACCAGAATCTTCTCCTGACAGAGGTTCCCTTCCACACTAGCCCACTCAACCTTGATCTTCCTCAGAGTGCTATCCAGGCCCTCGTCATACAACACTCACTCTCCCCGGACCATCTGACGCACAGCCAGGACTCCAATCACAGAAGATACCATGATGACCCCCAGAACCAGATCGACAGTCCAGGATTCTCTCCTTGGCGGTTTTCAGGACATGTCAAATTGGATGGCCCACAGGCATCTCAAACTCAGCATATCCAAGACTAAATCCATACTTCCCCACCAGTCTGTTCTTCTTTGGACATCACCAAGCTCAGAGAATGGCACCTCCCTCCACACGGATGCCCCTGCCAGAAACCTGGATGTCACCTTCAGCCCTTGTCACTCTTCTATGCCTACATTTAATCCACTATCAAGTTCTATCACTTCTCTCTCCCCACTATCTTTTTAATCTGTCCAGTTCTCTCCATCCCACTTCTCTCTCTCCTTACTTCCTCTGCCATCATCCTGGCTACGTGCTCTCACACCCCTGTATTTCTCCAGGCAAAGTGCTTAGCCATATTATATAATACATAATACCATGTTATAGTTGTTTGGTTTATTATACTGCAAGAGCAGAACTTTCTATCTTTTCAGTGTTGTGTCACAGGCTTTGGGACTGTACCTGGAACAATGCAAGCACTCTGTTAGTATGATGAATGAATGAAACCCACTCCCTCCATAGCCACTAAAGCTTGGTCCAGGCTAATGCCATCTCTAGTCTTGAGTGTTTCAAAGTCATGGTGGAAGGCCATTCACATCATCTGCCATTCTCTGTGGGATAATAAATCCCTCAGGCCAGAGGTGTGAGAGTGTTGGTCACGCTCTATACCAGTCACTGGGGTTATAGTAAATTTGTTCTTCTATTGATTCATTCAGACATCAGTAACGATTTGCTATGGCAGTGACTCACTCCTTTAAAATGATTTTGCATGGTATTTATTTCTTATTCTCTTCATAACCAATTGTAATAGAGTCTGACCTCATTTTTGTTGTTTGATTGCTGATTTCTTTTAGGCCTTACCCTCCCTTCCCTTTGGCCCCACATCTGGACAGGCTGATAAGAAGGCCTATGACCTCACCTCCTCCTTTGGCACCAGCAGGAAATTTAAATCTCCCATTTGCAGGAACTTCTCCCCAGCCCTACTCCTTAGCCAGTCTACAGGCCCAAATCTGCTCCCTCTGCTTTGCCCAAGCCAAGCTGGACCTGCTCGCAACTGCTCAGCTCTCCCCAGGAGCCCTTTGTGTGAGCAACTTTCCCTCAAATTCTCTTGGTGCGTGGAGTGTCATCAGCCTCAACATCGGAACTAAATTTTGAGTGGTTCCTCCTGCTTCTACAGGGGAACTATACAACACCAAGGACCTACAATCAACACACACACACACACACACACCAAAATGCACCAGACGTCACAACAGTTTGCTGTCATTTTCGTGTCAATTTGGGTTTTATTATGTTTCCATTTTCTATGTTAATATTGCCAAGAACGGATTCCCATTAATTCCACTTCTGCCAAAATGAAAATTGTGACAAGGAGAAATCTAAGGGAGTCCAGATACTGTCCCAGAGAGTAGGACAGTGACTAAATTCCTGCCCGTGATGCTCACACACTAACCCTCTAACCACACACTCTGCATAAGGCACTATGAGCACAAGCTTCAATGATTAGTCATAACAATGACTACACTGCGAGTTTACTAAGTGCCAGATACTATGGTCAGCATTCTAAACATATTATTTCTTTTGTGTTCAGCATCTTGCATATATGAATGTTTATGCCCATTGATTAGCTGCTCCCCACTTCCCCTCCCCTCAGCCCCCAGCAACCACTATTCTATTCTCTGCTTCTATGAGTTTGACTATTTTAGATTCCACATATAAGCGAGATCATGCAGTATTTATCCTTCTGTGACTGGCTTATCTCACTTAGCATAGGTTACATCAAGTCAATCCTCTGCTCAGCATCCTTCAGTGGCTCCTATTTCTCCCCAGGGTAAAACCAAGAGACCCTTCAGTGCCCTGCAGTGGCCTGCATTCTGCCACCTATAGCCTTTGTGACAGCATTTGTTAGTTCTCTGCCCTGCATTTACACCACCCCAGCACACTGGCCTCTGTGCTATTCCACAAACCTGCCAGGCCTGCCCTGGCCTCAAGGCCTCCATGCTGGCTGGTCCTTCTGCCTGGAACCATCTTCTTCCAGATAATTGCACGGCTATTTCCTTCACCTCCTTCAAGGCTTTGCTTCAGTCTCATTCTCAATGAGGCCCAGTCTGACCACCCTAATGAAGAAGGCAACCTGGCCCCTACCTCAACCCCCACATTCTCGATCTCCCTCATGCTTGGTTTTTTTTCGTTTGTTAATTGCTTTCCACATCCCTTATCACCTCCTAATGTCAAAGCTCCATAAGAACAGGGATTTTTTTGTCTGTTTTATTCCCTAGTATTTTCCAGGCTCCTAGAAGAGTATCTAGCATCTTGTAGGCACCCAATAAATAATTATTGAATGAGCAAACGACAGTGTGGCTCTGGAGTCAGCTAGACCTGGGTTCAAATTTCAGTTCTGCCACTTATCAGCTGTCTGATCTTGGACAAACTTCTTGAGCTCTCTGTGCTTCCATTTCCTCAACTGAAGGAAGTCCTTTTGGTGCGAAGAGTGTCATTACATCAGCTTCCTTATTTCTTTCTGAGCACTAGTCCATCCTGTTTTCCCACTCGGAGAATGATTCTCAGAGAGGTTATATAACTTGCCCAGGACCACGCAGCCGGAAATTTACAGCTTGGATTTGTTCCACATCTGCTGACCCAAGAGAGTGTTGTTCTTTCCTCCACAACACAACAGCTTTATAAGCATTTTAAAGGCTCAATACAATGTAGACTTGTTAAGCATACTAATAATCCAAAAAAATTACTAATAATCATTCACATTTGTATGTGATTTTATAGCTAGAAGCAGAACTCCAGGCAGGAGTTTGGGGTGTGTTGAGGTGCATCAGAATCACCTGAGAAGGCTTCATCAAAACATGGATGCCTGTGTGCACCTCCCAACCTCTAGGGAGGGCCCTGTGCACAGGCATGGTCAAAAAGTTCCTCAGATGATTCTTAGTACGTCCTGGCTGAGAACCACTGCTCTACATAACTTAAGTCAGTCCTCAAAACAATCTCATAAGATAGTTATTGTTATCCCAGTTCTAAGGATTAGGGAAAAAAGACTCAGAAACATGAAGGGATTTATCCACAACCACCTAGCTAGAGAGTGATACGGTTGGAAGGCCCAGCTCCTCTCCTCCGGCTCAAACAGAAAGCACACAAGTAGAAGTCAGTAGGTCTGGGTCCTAATCTTGGCTCCTCCCCTCAAAAGCTAAGTGAAGGTAGCAAGTCATTAAACTGCTCATGTTTCATTTTGGGGAAAGAAACATATTTCTTACTTCTTTGAAGTAAACAGGGTGAGGAACAAATGAGATAATAGCTGTGAATAATAATGGGCACTGTTTATCAACTGCCTTTCAGAGAAGAGAAACTCCTGACATTATTACACTTAATCTTCACCGGTGTCCAGTAGGATAAGTCTCATCACCTTTAGTTTATTGAGGCAGACAGAAATGTAAGCACACAGCTAGTAGGTAGAGAGAGATTCAAATGTATGTCTTTCTGATGCCAAAGCCCACATCCTTTCCAATAGGCCTACCAAAAAGGATGCCATGAAAATTATTAGCTGTGAGATAAATATTAGATATAAAAGGGTTAGCAAACCACATATCACCACAAGTCCTATATATCTATATCTACAATACAGCTTATACGGATGAGACCATATGAACACTGATATACAATTATAAATCATATCCACTTAAATTTAAATGATACTGACTGAGCACCCTCTAGGCACTGTGGCGGTTAGAGAGATGAATGGCATTTTATTCTCGCTTCAGTTAGCCTAGCACATTTTCTCAGCACTGGCATGTATAGCT